TGGTGTGTGTTCATGTGTGTGTGTGATTAGCAGCTACTTTCATCTGATAATGGCTGTTCTTAGCCGCAGGCTAAACCCATCACACACACACACACACACACACAGTCCCCAGTGTGTGTGTGTGTGTGTGTGTGTGTGTGTGTGTGTGTGTGTGTGTGTGTGTGTGTGTGTGTGTGTGTGTGTGTGTGTGTGTGTGTGTGTTGTGTGTATCTTCTGTCTGTCAGTGTGAATGGAGGAGAGGTGGATGATTGACAGCTCCCATCAGGACCCCGCCTCATCCTGTCACATTAAATACTTTGTCTGTCTGTCTCTCTGCCTGTCTGTCTCTCTGCCTGTCTGTCTCTCTGCCTGTCTGCATGCCAAATGAATCAGAGACATTTGGATAGTTTTCCAGCTCCATACCATTGATGACACGCAGAGTCAAAACAAGGACTCAGATCAGTGGTTCCTATAAATGAGGAGGTTTGAGGAGAACCAGTCAGTGTTAGGGTTCTCCTGACGGGGTTTAATCAGAAGAGAAACCTGTCGGGTACTTTGTCCGTGTGCTGACCACACTCTCACAGACGTGTGTGTGTGTTGTTGGAGCAGAACACCTATTGTGGTGGCTGATAGCCACCCCCTCTGCTACGCGCCGTTCGTTGGATGAGGCTGAAATCTCTATTAAATAAAGAAAGGAATTGAAAACACCGGAATCAAAAGTTATAACAATTATCTGAGTTTACTGGTAGGAAACCAAACACATATACAAGTTATACAGAGTACTCCGGACTTCAGGTTTGTGATGCGATGCGGATACAAGTATCGGGACCAGCCTTCAACAAACCAGAAGCATTTTTACATACAAAAACACCAGTATTCATACTCATATTTTGAGGCGGAGATGTGTTGACTTTTCCCTTCCCCTCTTACTCCAAAGCGAATGAGAGAGTCCGTGAGGAGGAGCTGTATGAGCTGCTCACCTCCCCCAAGTGTTTTTACTGGCTGGATTCACTTCTGGTCGGGTTCAATAGTTCTCACCAGAACGTGAAATTCCAAAGTTTCACAAGGTCAGAAGTCAATCCTTATCTCTGTCCCGATCTTCACTCCCTTACCTTCCCATGGGAGTTTTTCACATAAACTATTCTTTCACAGACATTTAAACCTTTGTGCACATATTTAATGATGTCTTTAACGACCTTAAAAAGAGCATCTGGTGTAGGGGTGAAAAGGTGAGGAGTGTGTGTGAAACAGGATCTCTGGGTCAGTGAGTTAAAAGTGAGAATATCATTTCTATATATGTGATTACCCAAAACCGTTGTGATTACTTAAAACAGTTCAAACAATACATGTTCACTAAAATACAATTCAAAATAATACATGTTTACTTCAATACAGTGTAGAATCATATCTTTTTACTTCAATCCCTCTTTTGATCTCACCTCACGAGATCAACATATAGCATTTGAAACATTACCCCTGTCATTTTTTTCCTACTGTGTCTGTCCCAACATTTATATAAATCCATCAGAAGCTGGGATTTAGAGCACTTTAAACCTTTAGGAACAGTCCACAACAACAACTTTTTATGACAGTGGAGGGAGAATAAAATATGTCTAAAAAAGTTCGTCCTTGTCAGCTGAGTCATCTTACTCTTCCCCCTCCGACGCATAGGCCAACAAGTGCATTCGGTACGAAGGGGAAAGGGCAGCTTTTCCCTCAATGGTGGAACTGATGAGTCTAACACACAATGAGCGGATACAAGGCACACAACAACAACCACATGTCACCAAAATGGCAATAAAAGTAGCCACAGAAATTAGAAGAGACATTATTAAACTTTTCCCTCTTTTGGTAACACATAGTTCTGTAGAATAAAAAATACAAATCCCTTAAATTATGGGATATAAAAATAAAGTTGAAAGTTCCTCCAAAAAATGGATTGTTCAGACAAAGTTCCACACCGGCTATATCAACCTGTTTCAGCGGGAAATGGAGTTCCCTGTGCCGTCTTGGTTTGCCGTGTCTTCGTCCCCCCAGCCCGCTGACGGCGGCTTCTGAGCTGCCTTCTAGAGAGATGTGTCCGGATTGTCCTCCCCCGGCCCGCTGATGGCGGCCTCCGGGTCGATGCTGGAGAGATGTCCCGATCCTCCTCCTCCGGCCCGCTGATGGCGGCTTCCGGGTCCACTGCTGGAGAGATGTCCTCCCGATCCTCCTCCTCCGGTCCGCTGATGGCGGCTTCCGGGTCCACTGCCTTGACGAGGGCCAGATCTGTCCTGATGTCGTCTAGGGTCCTCGCAGCTGTTTTTCCCGACCGCACACTGGCTCCAGTGATACCAGTTGTCTCCCTTTCCATCTAGGCGGACGGCATGGGAGGTCCTTTGGGTCACTCTGTCGGGGCCGGAAAACCTGGGGTTGAGCCACTTAGGCCTGATGGCCTTCAACCAGACGAACTCTGCTGTGTTGGCCTCGTGTTTCTCGGGTCCCCCTTTGGCGTCAGCAACCTGTGTGGAGAAGTCTCATACCAAGCCCTTAAGTTGCTGGAAATATGGTTTTGAACTCATCTCTTCTACTTCTTTAGTGTTTATTGGCGGCACCAACTAGACTGGAGTGTGGACAAGAGACTATGCAGAAAATAATCAACAAAAAATAAAATAAAAAATAAAAGATAAAAAATAAAAAATAGAACAAAAATAAAACAAAAAAGGAACAAACTAACAAAACAAAAAATAACCAAAACTAGATTATTTCAAATGTATCAATTTCTCTTAAAAGCAACAAACAAAACAAAACAAAACAAAAATAACTAAAGCTAGTATTTTAAATTGATAAATTTCTCTTAAAATCGTAATAATCTCACATACATATTGTCTGATGTATATCCTATCCTATCCCCCCTTTTTCTGAAATAGAATGCCGTTAACGGTGTTCTTATTTTCAGAAATATCGAGCCTTATACATCAGTTATTTAATATCAGCTATATATTATATATTATTATTACTTATATATCAGGCATTAAATGTCAGCCTTCTTCCATGATTGACCTCGTTTATATTATCTGACTTATGTTGATACGTGTTCGTTTGTATTTATTTAATATACTGGGCAATTATTGCTTTTAATTCTAAATGTTCAATATGTATTTTTTCAGAATGTTGTAGCACTCCCTGTTCGCCACCAGAGGGCAGCAGCTGACCATGAATGAAGTTGTCCCCACTCACTGGTACTCAGCAACTTTGTCTCCACTGGTGTCAATTATGCTTTTATTTCAATTATTACACAGATTTGACTTAAAAAATTGCAGTTTTACATATATTTATACGTACAGTCAGGCACATTTTTATTGTGCGATATATATTTCAACAGATAGCGTGACTTCCTGAAGCAAGCTTCTACAAACCCCTCACGGCGATTGCGGCTTCAGGCAAGGAGTTGAAACTCAGTCAACAAAATCTCTTTATCGTCACGTTTAATGAGCCTGATTAACCCCACAGCAAGAGTTGTGATGAGATTCGGTCGTTCCAAATAATTAGTTGGAGGTCGCGTCTCTCTTCTCTTGTATCACCCACCATATAACAATTACAGAAATGTTATACATTTAAAGCACCACGAAAGGTAACCGCATTAATCAATCTTATCATGATCTGCGGGGAATTTAACCCTTCTGTTTTTTACACCTTCGTAGTCTTTAATTAAAGCACTGCAAAGCAACCGTATCAATCAATGTTATTTTGACTTACGGGGAATTTAACCTATACATCTTTTACAGCCTTGCAGTCTTCGTACTTAGTGAGTGAAGGGCCGGGACTGACCTACCCGCCTCTCT